TATATATATATATATATATATATATATATATATATATATATATATTGGCCCATAAGAGCACAGTGTAGATATAGTGCAGAAGGTCCCAGATGACGAGCTGCAAGAACTTTTAATAGTAAGGCTGCTGAGAAAAGGATAAGCAATGCAGCAATAAGATAAACTTTGAGCAGATTGGCTGAGGCCCCTTATCCCTCCTTGATGGGATAAATTTTTCCAATGATCAATGTGAAAAATAAGATAACCTTTGAGCATATTGGCTGAGCCCCCTTATCCCTCCTTGATGGGATAAATTTTCCTATGATCGACGTGAAATAAACAATATATTAGTTTTGTCATATTGGATAAATCGATTTGTCCCAAGTTATATGTGGAGGTGTAAAATAAGAAGGATAGAACTAAATACATTCTTTGTCAAGTCTATTTAGAGAATGCAAGGTCTGACACTAACAATCTTAGCCCTTTTCGTCAAAATTAGAGAGGAAATTGTCAAATCACTTGTCGCAGAATTCCCTTAAGAAATCTTGATTTTAGACTCAGAAAACAATCAAATGAACACTTGTTTACCTCGACTCGACTCAAACCTTTAACCTTCACTTTGATTGCTCCAAAGACTCTAAAACCCCACAAAGAGGAATGGATGATGGTAGCAATAGGAAAAAGAAGAAGAGGCAATAATGATGGGAATCACTCCAACAAACCCCCCCAAGCCGGGTGCCCCTCGACCCTCTCTTTCTCTCGGCCCTCTCTTCTACACACACACACACACACCCCACCATAAGAAACAATTGCTGGAGGAGATGGATATATAATGGGTATTAGGTCACAAATAATTGGGCTTAACTTATTCATTTCTGGGCCAAAGATATAACTCTCTCAATGAGCTAAGTTAATGGACCAACAATAATCCAACACTACATACCAATCAAACTTCCAATTCAACTCCAACTTGAGCCTTCCAAAAGTGTCGGTCGTATTCGAGTTGAACCAAGTCCATGGTGTCGATAAATTATCCGACAACTGTTTTAAATCATCGTTTACATTTATTAGGTATCAAAACTCAACAATTCTCCACATTGATACCCAATAAGTCTGCAAGTAATCAAAACAAAAAGTTTATACTTACATAATCAAGGTAACCAATAAAATTGGTATCACAAACCTTACCTCGTGTTTTCAACTTGAAATACATACCAAACCTATTACATGTACTCACTGAGGCTAAGGTCAAGAATATCCAAGTAGAAACAAATATTTACAGTGAACAATTAAGAGCAAATAAATATGCGATAATGATATATTATAGGATAACACACGAATCTTTTGAGAAACTGTTCACATAGAACCTCAGATTAACACTAAGTTAACCAAACACAAGGTCAAGCACGTGCAATAAATTTATAAATGACCCACGAAAAGATCTTATCACACTTATCCTATCTCATTCCGTATTGCTCACACCTCGATAACATATATCTCTTTTCATTGCCCACTATGCTTATTCGACTGATCACTCAACTCATGTCTAATTGTTAAGTCACAATAGATCCTAAGTTTATGGGATAATCCTCTATCACTATATCACTTTTCCCAACCTACATAGATAATGTGTCTCCACCTAACAGAAGTGATAGAAATGCCTTTCTCACACTCCGCTTATACATGGTCTCTTCACAGATAAATAATTTCAACATTTAATCACATTCAAATGTCAAAATCCATTTTCTCAATGCATATCACCAATGTACCTTCAAACATCTATATTCATCCTTATCAAAAGACATGCAATTCACTGTTTATGCATCTCAAACTTATTATGGGAGAACAATACATTCGGAAACCACAAAGGTTAGGGCTCAACTTAAATTAACCTACATACCACAAGGTTATTCCAATCACCAATGTTCAAAAAGTCCTCAAAAGAAATGGGAAAGATGACACTCGTAAAGAGAATAGAAAAAAGAGTTGGTTATTTCATAACACTCATAAAAGAGGCTCACAGAGAGAAAGAAGATAACCCGACATGACTACCTCACATAATCTCACAAACCAAATTGGCTCACAAAAATAAAAGAGAAAAGGGCTGCACATCTTTCTTCTCACTACTAGACCCTCACACCACTCATAGAGCAAATGGAGTACGCCACAAAATTCAACCCACTATGCAAACAAGCACATTACACAAAGTAATAAAATCACTCCAATTCATGCACTTGCACATCAAACATATGGGAAGTGTAGCGTATCAACATTTCAATAAAATTAAGTGATCATACATACAAATGCAGTAACCAGGTTTACTTTCAATAAATGTCACACAAGTTATCACTCGACTCTATAGCCACATTCACCTCACCTCTTTAATCTTTCCTTTTATTATCATTACTAGGATGATCTATTTCACATGTCCAATTTTACCACAGTCAAAACACATTTTATTTTTCGCATTTACCTTAAACTTACACATGTCATCAATACAAAAAAATGACCGTAGGTAAAGTATAAACATAATTCACATAGAATGATCAAATGGACTTTTCTAAAGTCACATGTAATGCTAACAGTGTAGAAATTTTGATGACATATTCACAAAGAATTTAAGGCAAATAATTTCTAGGTCTAGCAGCAGACAATGGTTACCCCTTCATGGTAACTCCAAACCTAACGTCACCCCATACGATGACTTCTAATGCGAAAAATAAAAAATTACCCTACACAATAATTTTAACTACAATAATAAAAGGAAAAGAACACGACACCGAGCAGACCACATCTGAAGGTTCGTACATATCGAGAGACACGAATTCACCACTTTACCACATCTGAAGGTTCGTACATATCGAGAGACACGAATTCACCACTTTAGGATCGTCATTGTCATCCTAAAGTCACCAACAATCGCAGCAACACAAAACAACATTCGGCACAAAGACAACCAAGGACAAAGTCGTCCAACGTTCACCGTATTGCTCAAAGTTGAAATTCGACAACACCGTAGGGTTTGCCACGTTGCCTAGAGAAAGCTATCTGAAGAAGTGATAGGCCAAATCTCCTCCACATGCTCACACGCGTCTGGCCGAAATCCCCACGTGCGGGCATCGACACAGGAGGTCACACGCTACTCCTTCTGAATTGTCTCGGTCTGCACATCATGCTAGTGGTTACTGATTCTCCAAACAATATGTGGTTTTGCCTGAAAACGTAAAATCAGGTCTAAATTTTTAATAGTTTTTTTGTCCAGAATTCTGCCAAATTTGAGCTGTGATTTCAGGTCGATTCCCGCTGTTTTTGGTCGAAAAAATCACAGATTTCTTAACAACACATGCTCTTATATCATTTGTCACGAAAATCCCTCGAGAAACCTTGATTTCTGGCTCAGAAAATAACCAAACGAACACCAGGTTATCTCAACTCGATCCAAACCTTTAATCTTCACTTTGGTTGCTTTAAGAACCCTCAAACCCCACAAAGAGGAATGGATAGTGGCGACAATAGGAAGAAGAAGAAGAGGCAACAATGGTGGGAAATACTCCAACAAACCCCCCAAGCCGGTTGCCCCTCGACCCTTTCTTCCACACAACCCCCCCTCCCTCCCCACCATAAGAAACGATTGTTGGAGGAGATGGATATATAATGGTATTAGGTCACAAATAATTGGGCTTAACTTATTCATTTATGGGCCTAAGAATAACCATCTCAATGGGCTAAGTTAATGGACCAACAATAATCTAAAACCACATACCAATAAAAATCCAACTTGGGCCTTCCAAAAGTGTCGGTCGTATTCAAGTTGAGCCAAATCCATGGTGTCAATAAATTATCCGATAACTGTTTTAAATTATTGCCCAAATTTATTAGGTATCAAAATCCAATATCACTTAACATGCAACTTTAAGTTATGCAAAGGTCGCTTTCAATTTTAATATCTATGTTGACGCTTTTAGTCATGCAGGAATCAAAATTCGTAGATTTTAATAGGTTGGTAATCCAGAACCTTATTTTTGAAGGTTAAAAACGTAGAACCACACAACCTAAAAATTGGGATGGTCCAATCCTAATTTTTCCTTGTACAAATCACAAGGTTCTCTTTTTATTTTTATTATTTGAAAATTCTCCATGTTTGATGAGAAGCACGTATTTTCTCTTCCAAAAATGACCTCTTCAGTCGAGCCAGTGGAGAAAGGCATGAGATACTTACCTAAGCAAGCTACATTGAGGAGATCCCACGTTTGTTCCTAGACGATTGCCAAGGGTCATACGTGTTGCTGCTTCTTAAGATCCTAATTGCCACAATTCCTCTGCATCAAAATGAGCAATTTAAAATATATCCAC